ACTAGGTGCGTTCCTCTCAGTCTTCCTACCAATATGACCATGTTGCGAAAACAAGGTCAAACAACCTCTAGGCTGACTAAGTTCTAGTTCAATGGTATGCCACGGTAATGTGTTGAATACGCCATGCAACGATGCCTGACTACGTGCATACTTAACGAGACTTTTGAATAGTTGCATGTGGCGACTGGGGCTGGATAATTGAGTGAGAATTGGCTTTTGCTTCCTGCATCGACTTGAGCAAATGAAGAGTTTGAGAATCTGCTCGTATATGATGGGTATTATTTTTCGGCTCAAATTCCCATATCTGATTCCACTGAGGCGTTTCGGTTTTCATGAAGCTCAACCATTCAGTCAAACACAACTCACTTTTGGCGTAGTCAGCTAAGTCGTATCATGAAATTTTCTGATTACATTTTCTAGTTACTAGACACTATAACAACTTGCTTTCTAATTATGTTCACATGCATGCACACACACTCATTCATTCACACACACATTTATAAATATTTATGCATACATATGTATATATATATACCATCATATTCACAAGACGGCTGACTAAATCACCGTATACTTTTGCGTTCGTTGGTCGATGCCAAGCCATTTGACCTTCCTGACGCAACGCTGTCTTGAGGTCTCTATCTGACCGTTTGAAAGATACTCGAATTGAAAAAAGGATGAGTAGGAACTGTGATCAGTTCCACACTCATCTGATTGTGAGAAAGCTCAACTATCAGCTCTCCATCACCTCATATGACATAGAGCAGCTAGACTCTTTTTTCGTTTCTAGGTATGCTTTCGAGACTGCAAGTAATTCCGATATATAAGATGTGTCCACCATATTTCGTTTTCGATGTTAAGGGAACTGGTAGGGAAATTTTCCCACAATGATATGAGTGGACATGGTGTTTCCATTGACGCTCACGCCGTCTTGCTTTCCCAAAAGGCATTCTCAACAGGAGTGGATTGCAGGTTCAGCCTCGTGTATGTCTCATCTGCATCCCCAGCAGACTCGAACCGGTGTTGTTAACCCCTAAGCCAGGCTTCTACGAGTGCCCTTGGGTCACAGGGCTTATGTGATTTTCAAAGTGGGACAGACATTTTCCTCTATTACATTGTGTGGTTGGATTGTCGATGAAGCAAAGTTGTATTTGCTATAGCAATCGAGTAGATTAGTTAGTTTTCGTTTGTAAATTTATTAGATCAGGTATATAAGATGTATTATTCTTTAAGGTAGTCTCGAGGTCCACTCACTCACCGCCACGAGTGCCACTCGGTCACAGAGCAGAGGTGACTTTCATGACAAGCCAGACGCTTCTTGCATCACCATTTTGTATTGGCATTGTCGATGAAGCCATTTTTTATTTGCCATTACAATCAACTGCATTACTTGTATTCCGAGTGAGTAGCCTCCGAGGCTACCAGTAATTCTTGATTACGAATTCTAGTCGCTCTAGGTCGTATGATGAGATGAAGGGCTGACAGTTGAGCTTTCCCACTATCAGGTGAGTAGGAGAGTTGGCCTTTATTTCTTGGCACATCCAACCTATGACTCGCTTTACGACACACTTTCATACGGAATTCCATTCAGCCTAACACATATCGTTCAACTAAATTATCGAGAGCCAGCTTCGCGTCATAGGCACGACATATTTTGTATGCGAGCTTTACTACTCCGCAACATTTACATGTAGCTAGGCTGAGTAAGTGAACTTTTTCCAACTCAAATTCTGCTGTTCTGACCTCGCATTCATCGTTAACCGACTGCTATTTAGATTGTACATATTCCGTTAAGCTAGCATGGGTTATTTGTGATTTATACTTTCCTCAAGTATGCGTGTTATGGCAGCCGTGAGCTGCCCCCGATATGGGCAAATGCGGAGCGAATTTGACATAATTGTTCGGCGTCAAGATTCTACCGCTCGTCTCGGTTGGATGAATGGATAACTGGAGCCTTTAGCCTCCGAAAAGCGATAATGTGAGGGTGAGGCCCAATTTTGGCGCAGGAGACAGTGGTTTAGGCCTGGCTGGAGCCAAAGTGATATCACGAATAGGATTGAAAAAGTGAATTTTG